TTACTGCCTGTTATTTCTTCTGCTTTTTTTATGCTGGCTTTTTGAAAGCCAGCTGCCATAGTTTCTGACAACCAGATATAGTTAATTCTTGTTGCTTCTTCTTGGTTTGACCATGTATACACTCTCTTTGCTGGATGCAAGCTTCTAAAGAAGTCTGTAAAATTCTGTCTCTTGAGCCAATTAAAAACTAGCAATTTTTTATATCCTATTGTTTGTAGGTGCAGTTGATCTAGTATGTTGTCAACTGTATGATTAAAATCTTTAACTATAATTACTTTTGTGTGCTTTCTTCTGTTTGTTACTATTTCTATGATTTTTTGTTGTATCTTCTTACTGGTTGCCTTGTCATTTGATAGAATATACACCCCTATCACTATCAGTACTAGTTGTTTGAAGTATAGTTTTACTTCTACCATATATTCACTAGGTCTTTTAACTGCTCCAACATATTTTTCCCAAGTCTCATCTATTAAAATTCCAATGCCTGATCCTTTTTTCTTGTCTGATACTGCACTTGTCCAGTAACCTTTAAATCTTGTATTAAGGTTATGTACTAAGATCTTTCCTTCTTTTTCTGTAATGTTTGTTTTCATAATTCCCAAGAATGCTATTTCTTCTTCTTCTGCCCAGCCTAGTTTATTAAAAATAATAGTAGAAATTTGTTTTTAAAATGTTGCTTCATATTTGCCTTTAATATAAAAGACAAATATATTAAGATAAAGTTAATTTCATAATTTATTATCTTTTTTGAAATATTTTTAATATAATTTATCAAAATATGTTTAGTAAGTGCAGATGTATTATGTTATAGTTGTAATTTAGTATTAATTTTTTGATTTATGTTATTTTTAATTTTTTTTAATGCATTAGTAAATTTAAAATAAAGTATTTAAAATCTGTACAGATAAGTATATAAATAATTGATTTATTTAAAAGTTTTAAAATACTATTATAAGTTATTTAATTTTTAAATTTATAAATAATAAGTAAAATAACTCTTTTTATTAATCACTTATACAAAATTTATCCTAAATTTTGCTTATATAAAACTACTAATATTTTAAATTTTATTATATAAACAAGCTTGATGTCTTAAGCAAAGTTGTTCACCTTAAAATTTTATATATATTTTTAAAATTTTACAATATTATTTCTCAAACTTATTACAAAAAAAAACAAAAAAAATATGGTAACTAAAATAAACTTTTAACTATTTCTAAAAAACTACTTTTAAAACTAACATTATATTTTTAATAAAAATTATTTAACATATATTTCTAATCAAAACAAAGTTTAAACAAACTTATAACCTTAATATTAACTAAATTATATTCTAAAATAACTTGTACTCTTTTATTTTATTATAAAATTTTTTTTTTATTTCTTTCTATTTTACCTTAAAAATTCTTACTAGATCATTTTTTGTATAATATTATATTATTTTCTAAACTGATTAAGAATGCTCTTAAGTACTTAATCAATTGGCTAGAATAAAAAATTTAATTAATAGAAAATAGTCAAATGGGTTATCATTTTAGTAAAAAAAAATAGTTTGTGACTATTTTTTTTTTCAAAGAGTTGAGTTTTATTAGTAAAAATTTGCAATTGATGAATTAATAAAAGAGATTATTTAAGCACTTAATATTATTATTTTTTTTTTTTTTTTTTTTTTTTTTTTATTATTAAAGTGCCCTCTTTGATCTTTTGACTTTTATTAATTACTTATTAGTATTGTGGTTCAATGAACTATTACAGGAGAACATACAATTGGCTATACATGTAACTTTTTTATATTACCTATTTAAGAAGTTCACCCAAAGGTTCTTTATTAATTGTTATATCTAACACCTTTGCTTGAGTGTTCCACTTTAAACCCTCTGAACCTGTAACCTGTATTAACATCACTGGGTTATACTTAGGTTCCCAGATCATTTTCTCAACTTTAGGACTAATTTATCCTTAAGGTAAACCACTCAAAGCCTTCTGTACACATTTTTACAGCTGCCCTAGGTATCACTATAGCAGAACCAACACTTGTAGTCAGGACTAACCATTAAACTGCTATGCTCTTATAGAGTTCACTTAGACCCCAGCATCTACTTTACAGCATAACTCTAGTACTTTAGTATATCTCTGCCTTTTTATCAAACTCCCAATTCAGATAGCCTATATAGGACTACAACCAGTCCATTGATATATTAGGTCAGCCCAATATACTTTTCTTCTGATTTGTTCTGGCAGCCTGGTTTGTATTACCTTCAAGACTCCAAACTCTGAAGTTCTTGCCCATCTGGCTACTACAACAGAGTACTATAACCTTGGTATCTGTTTTTTTAAGCTAGTCTTTATATTAGGGCCATCAAAGATCCAGCTACCTCTCTACTTGAGTCTTCCCAAATAGACTTCTTGTTACTCAATTTCAACAGATTTACATAGTCAAAAGGACTTATCTAGTGTTTGCACCACCTGATTTGTCAGTTTGCATTCTTCTGTATAATAACATACTTACACATATGCCTTATAACCTGTTAGTCATGCTGCTGTGACTACTATTACAGGTATCCTAACTTAATTATTAGTAACAGTTGCTGTAATATAAATATTATATAGGTAATTATTTAAATTTTTACTGTTGATAGGATTTGAACACCCAACCTACCACTTGGAATATTAACAACCTGACCACTTCACTAGGTTATCACACCCCTTATTTTACATTGTTACATTATATGTAAATATATAATTTTTAAATAAAATTTTATTATATAGTATATTAATAAATTAATATAATAGTATTATTTTAATATATCAGTAATTTATATTATATGATATATTAATAATTTATATTATATGACCATTTTATTCTTTTACTTTCACTTTTACTTTATTTAAAAATATTCAAAATAAAGAAAAACATAGATTACTATTAACAACAACAAATTATTTTGTTATTTTTTATACTAAAAACATTTAAAGCAAATAAGAAACATTAGAATATTTAAAAAGATATAACTGATACCTGCAATCTTCTAATTTTCACTAATATGACAATAAATATGCCAATTTTATTAGCATTTTTTTTTCTAATATAAGAGCTTAGCCTTAATAAAAACCAAAAACTAAAGAATTTTGGATTGATATCTTTTTGAATTTAGCTAATAATAAAGATTATAACTTATTTCATAATATTTTCAAATTAAACTTGTTATATTTAATACAATTGTTGCTAAATTGAAGGCCTATTCAGCTTTTAGTTATAAAGCATATAATTCCATATCTGTTTGGAAGCAAATTGCAATTATATTATAGCAGTTTGCTATTAGAACAGGTATTTAAATATTAGAACAAATCTTTGAAATAAGTCAAAGATTGGTATAGCACTTTACTGATAGGTTCTTGAAAGCATTATTAGATATAGAATAAGAAAAAATAATGTAGTTGCAAGGATCAAAATTAGCAACTATAATACAAGGATTTGAATATAGAATATCAGGTCTAGAAAATAACATATCTAATGTTATTGAAGCGATAAATAAATCTTATATTACAATTCATCATTCTTCAAAAAATAGTTTTTAATTTGTAAATCATAAAAATTTTTACTCTATTAATCTTCTTGGAGTTGTAGACTATTGAGAATGTTTTATCTATATTTATATTGGAGAAGCAAGTTAATAAAAAATTATTATTAATTTTAATATATTTATTTATTAAAATTTTTTTTAAAGGAAGTGTACCCAATTTCCATATATTTTATAGTTCTTTACTATATTCTGAAGTTTTACATAGTCCTGAACAATGGGTTCTAAGTAGTTCTTATATAATTGCTGATTTAGCATATTTTCTTAAAACTTATTTGATGAAGCTATTTCCTGCTTATAATATATTAACTATAGAGAACAATAATTTAATAAAACTTTATCTTCAATGCAAATAATTGTTAAATGTGCATTTGGATATTTAAAAAGTCAGTAGAGAATTTTAAATAATGTAAATTGTATTGATTTAAAACAAATAATCAGAATAATTCATATATGTTGTATTTTATATAATATTTAAATTAATAATAATGATATATTAAAATACAATAAAGTTAAGAAAGATAATAAAAATAATACTGATAAATATACTGATGAAAATGAAAAAGATAATATTGCAGATATGCAAAAAAAATATTTAGCAAATATTCTTATGAATCTTTAATATTTTATTAATATAGCAATTAGTATTTTTCTAATTATACATGTTTTTAAAATTTTATTAAAAACTGTTTAAATATATCTATTTGTTAATCATGCTGTTTTTATTAAATTTTGCATGAATGTGCATATTAATCTTTTATTGTTTTAATTATGATCTCTGTTTGGTCTTTAATAATATTTTAAATATCTTTAATATAACCTTTTTTATAATCAATATGGTTACTTTTTCATTTTTTAAGATTAGGCTATATTTTAAAATAAATCTAAACCAATAATTATAAATAAAATGTATAAATGAATAAATAAAAAAATAGTTATCTCATTATCTTCATAATTGTTTAAATTATTATTTGTCTTTTCTTTATATTTGATTCTATTAATTGAATTACTTGTAATTAGAGCTGTAATACTTAGATCATTTTTTAAACATTCATCCATGTCTTTAAAAAATTTCTACTCATTTTGAACTGTCTTTTTACTAGTATTTTTAATAGTATCCTTTATATTCTAATATATTTGAAATAAAGAATTTTATTTTTGTTAAAATAGTGCCTTAGATTGTTTTTTTTAAAATTAAACTTGAAGTTGAATCTTGAATGTTTAAAATAATTTTATTTTAAATATGTTCCTTCTCTCTTGGGTCTCTTATCTGTTGCAATGTATATTAATTTTTACTGACTTTCTCAATAAGAATTCTAGTTTCAGATGATGTTCAATAATGATTTATTTTATTATTTAAGACAGCTTTAGAAAAATTTGCTGATAACTCATTTGTGGCTTAAGAAATAAGCAAATTTTTTAATTATGATTAGAATTATTAACAGAAGGTTCTAATAAAAATATCTAAAAAAAAAATTCAATTTTAAATTTTTTTTTAATTTTTTTTTTATATAATAAATATGATTTGTTTTTATACTTACTTCATTATATTCTGTAGTTTTGTTTAATGTTATAGGGTTGAAGAGTGGTGTGATAGTATACTGTTGTGTAGCAAATTATTGCTATGCAGTAAAATACTGTTAAGCAACCGAAAATTGTTGCAACATCATATATAAATTAGTAAAGTCTGTAAAAAGCTTAGCAGGAACATTTAAACATTTTAAGTAATAGAAGTATTTGTGGTAGTTGAAGATATGCAAAAAAATTTGGAACAGTTGAAGAAGTAGTAGTTGCAATTAGAGTTGTTAGTGATAGTAGCATTTGTTTTATTACTATTTTTTTTATTATGATTTGGTAAAAACATGATGGCATAAATTAATTGTAAATAAAATAAATCAATTGTAAATTAAACAAATTTGCTTAATTATTAATCACAATGTATATATTAATTTATTGTAATAATTGTGCATCATTTTAATTACTATTTAATCATATTGAGTAAGATGCTTAAAAGTACTCTAAATTAGATTTACATAATACAAGTTACAAAATATTTAAATAATCTAAGCTTTATAACCAATTTAGTACAAACAAATTATTTACTAATTAGTAAATAGTTAAATTATATTAATTACAAATTACTGTATATATATATTTAAAAATATTAAATTTTGAATATTTTAATATAATTTTATTATTTATTAGCTAAATTTATTGTAACTAACTTTACTTTATATTTATACTTACTTATTATTTTTTTAATATTAATAATAAGGCTATGCTTTTAACTTTATTAAAATTTATTTAAAGTTTTTATATAGAAAAGCTTGCTTTAAATTATATATAAAGAATAAAAACTCAAATATATAATCTGTGATTTAAACTTATAAGAATAGTCAAGACTTACCTAATTTGTACTTCTTTAATATTTTGTCTTTGCAATTCTTTTGTTGCTTTTTCTCTGTTATAGTTGCAGTTGAAATCTATTTCTATCTATTTGCCATTTTCTTTCGTTGTTTTTTTGGCTAACTTTATATGCTTATTTTCTTCTAACATTACTTTTATATGTTCTACTTTTCTTAGATTGTGTTACCTTTTAAGTTATGTGCTAGTATTTCTGCACAATGTAAGTTATTTGTGTTACATAGTCTATTAGCTGATACCTATATGCTTTGTTTTAATGATGTATAGGTTTTTTTTATTTGTTAAACCTGTGCTTATAGTTTGTTATTTTATATTGCTTCTGTTTCTTGTTTACTAGTGCTGTTATTATTTTCTGTGTTTACTTTTCACTCTTTCTCTAGTTCTTTTACTTTTATTTGCTGTTTTTTCTTACTATAATTTACTTGCATGTTTTCATTTTTTATGATAATTTTAACTTCTTGCATCTTGTCTTCTTCTTCAGTTACTTCTTCTAATCTCATGTTTAGAAGATAATCTACTAATTTTGTGTTTAGGCTTATATATCTAATTCTTCTAGTACAGTCTTCAATAATTTTATTTTGTAGTCATATGCTTTCTGCTATTATCTAACTATACAGAAGCAAGTCATATATCATAATTTTATTTACATCTTCAACTACTAGACTTTTCGCTATTAGCTTTATGTTATCTGAACTCAATGGTTTTGCCTTATCTAAAACTTTAACTAGTTCTTTGTTATTTATATATTTAACTACTTATGCCTTATAGTTGCTAACAAATTTAAGCAGACTTTGTGTTTATACACTCTCTATATACATCAAATCTTTTTTTAGATTTTTCTATATATGTTGTATTTGTTTGTTTATATTTGTTTATTTATTGTATGCTTTATTTATTACTAAATTTGTATGTGTCTGTATTTGTTTACTTCTGCTTTTAGTCATGTATTTTTGTTTGTTGTTTTCAGAGTTAACAGCAATCCCAAAAATTTTACAATTTTTGAAAATTTTCTTGTTTTTTTGTAAAGTTTTCTGTTCTAGTATCTTAATTCTTTTTAGCTACTATGTCTATATACTATTTCTATATATTTTATCTTTTTGCTTTTTTTTTCTTATAGCACTTTTGTGTGTTTTCTATATTTTTTCTTGTGCTGTTGTCAATTTTGTATTTTTTCAAATTTATAAAAAGTGATTAGTAGAGAAAGTATAACAAATTGTAACACAATTATTATATCAATTATAATTTTTTTTATTACTCTATTATTCTACTTAAAATTAACATATTTATATAAATAATTACCAATTTTTTATATTTATACTAAGCAAATTATATATTATCTATACTTTATAGATTACTTATAAAGTATTTATATAATCTAGATCAAACTTATCTAGATTTGTATAAGTATAACAAATCTAAGTAGGTTTTGACCACTCTAGTTAATTTAGGTTATAAGTAAAATTGTCTAAGCTTTAATTCTTGCATGTAGTTTTTATTTTGAATTAACAATCTTAGTATATCTTATTATATAGTATATTAATATATAAAACAAAGGGTTTTATAATTTATTGTATATGTAATATATTGCACCCTTTCTGTTATTTAAAAATTTTGTCTATAAAACTGCTTTGAATACTAATAAAAAAAATTTCTATAAATTTTGATATAAACTATGCCTTTGCCTTATCTCAAACCTTAACACTAATCTTAATATTAATAAAATTTTATTTTTTGCTTTGATAAAAATTTTTTGTTATACAAAATTGATGATCATTATATAGTAAAATAGGGGTGCAATAAATTATAAAATTCTAAAACAAAAATTACTAATAAAGATATGAGCAAGACCTTACCTTAATACAAAAAAATAAAAGTAATAAATAAAAGTTTTTTAAAATAAATGATAAAGTATTTTTTAGATTAGTAATTTAAATAATTTAATATTTTGGTTTTGTTAATAGTATTAATAAATTTTTAACTATATTAAAAAAAACTTTTTAATTTACTCATTAAATAAAAAAATATTTTTAATAAAAAAATATTATATTTATTTATAAAAAGGATTTTAGAAATATTAAATTCTAGAGGTGTAATAACTTAGTGAAGTAGATAAGTTAACAACTCTCCAAATAGTAAATAGTGAAGTCAAAACTTATTGACAGTAAAAATTTGAATAATCATTTATTTAATATATAGATGATATTACAGCAACAGCATTCTGTCAATCAGTTAAGATAAGATATCTGTAATACAGTTATACTAGTATAACTGACAGGTTATAAGTTATCTGTGCAATGTTGAAGTCATCAGGTAGTGCAAACTCAAGATAAGTTCTTGTAGCTGTGTAAATCATGAACTGGAAAGCCAGAGCCTACTTGAAAAGATCCAAGTAGAGAGGTAGTATAGATTTTTAATAGTATTACTATAAAGGCTAGATCTAGGAAATGGATACTAGTAAGAAGTACTACAAACCAGGCTGTAGAAGTCTTAAACTGGAGAAAAAGAACTTTGGAAGGCAAACTTTAAGGTACTAGAAACAGGTTATAGTTCTTTAAAGCTATATAGATTGAAAGTCTGAGGTCAAAAGCAAAAATATACTATAAGTATTAGAGATATGCTATAAAGTTAGTACTAGGGTCTAGGTGAACTTTGCAAAGGTGAGCCCTGTTAACAAAAAGATTAAATCTAGATAGTTAGTTAGCAGAGAAGCCCTTTGAAGCCTTACAGTCAGGTAATATACTCTAAAATATTTAATAGCTTAATGGGTTAGGTTAGATAGCACTTAGATATACAAGAATATATGTGCTATTTATAGTATAAGAATAAGGATTAGAGTGTTTAAATAGTTAATCTTCTAGTAAATTGTAGGTATGGCAGCTAATGTAGAACCTACTGTGCAGACAGACTACTTAAAATAGATAACCAAAAGTTGTACATATGGCTAGTTGTATACTTACCTTATACAAATTATATAATCATAATTAAAATACAATAAAGACAATAGCTACCAATAATTATGGCCTTAGTGAAAGCAAAAAAAATAAATATTAAATTCAAATTTAATATTAAAATAATTTTCTATATTAATAAAAAGATCTTATTTGTTTTTATTACAATTAATAATTTTTAATAATATTTTAACTTTTATTGTTTACTCATATACTTCTATTTTTTTTATATATAAAATTTTTTTTTGTTTTTTTGCTTCTTTACAAAAAAATGTTATTAGATTAACAGTATTATATTGTAAAATGGCAGTTAGACAAGCAGTTTACTTCTGTTTGGAATAGTGTAGCAAATTATACTTAAATAGCAATAAGATAGCTAAATGATGCTGATCTTAAGTATTAAGAAAATTGATATAGTTTTAAAAATTCTAATAAAGTACTAGTATGACTGATTAAGTTAAAAAATATATATATATATAATAATAATATTTTAAACTTTTTTGATCTAAATTTAATATTTTTTGCAAATTTTGTAAAATTAATAGCTTGATAATTGTTTGACAAATATAAGTAAAAATAAGCTAAATTAATACAAATTATAAACAATTTTTGGCTTTAAAAGATGAAATAATAATAAGTATAATAAAAATTTTTAAATAATTAAATTTAGTAAAAGTATAATAATATTATCAAAATTTTTAAGCAGATTTATATTGATATATAGCATTTAATTAATATATATTAATTAAAAATAATCAATATATATTATTAAATGCTATATATTACTAATAGTAAATAATAATTTTTGATATATAATATATTAAATAATTATTATCATTATTGATTAATAATAATTTTTATAAAATTTGTTAACTTTTTTCAAAGTTTAACTTTAATTTTCTTAATAACTACTAAATCAAATTAGTTTAAATTTTTATTATAAATTGTATATATCCAATTATCTTATACTAAAATTTTAGCTAATTTAGATTAATAGTTTATAAAAAATTGTTTATAAATAATAATTAATATTTTGTAAAAACTTAATTATTATTTACAAATGATTTCTTGTTAACTATTAATATAAATTAGCTAAAATTTTAGTATAAGATAGTTGAATATATATACTATTTATAGTAAAAATTCAAATTAATTTGGATTAATAATTATCAAGAAATTAATATAAAAGTTAAGTAAATTTAATAAAATTTTGTTTCATATTATTAATAATTACTTATAATAATATTCTACATAGATGCTATATATTAATAATAATATGGTATTATTTTTTTTTTTAGTTTTAAAAGTAATATTATGTGTCTTTTTATTATTAGTAATATATGTATTATATATTTATATATAAAGTCTATTAACAAAAGTACAACTAATTATATATATAACTTTAGTTATTATCTAATTAAAAGTTCTGCTTATATGTTACCTATTAGA